CCCCCTTCCCAGTTTTTGTGTGAGCCGCCCTGAGTCCCCTCAGGGAAAAGGGCGGCCTACAAATACTAATAAAATTCTAAAATTCTAAATTCTAAGTTCAGAGAACCGGCAAATGCAACCTCTGGCTGGCCCCAGAGTGGAGTGGGAATGGAGATTTTGCAGTATCCTTCCCCTGCCACGCCCACCAAGCCATGCCCACCAAGCAACACCCACAGAACCGGTAGTAAAAAAAAATGAATGTTCACCACTGATCTCACCCCAATTGTAGAAGATTCACCCTTCTCCACAAGTGATTCCACGCTCTGCAGATTTGGAAAAGGCATTTTTCCAGACAACTCCTGTAGGGATGCAGATGGCTTCATTAGGAAGAAAGGAAATAGTAGGAAACATTATTTCCATGAATACTTTTAAGTTGATTTAAATTATAGTTATGTTCCAAGCATGAATACCTTTTGTTTGATCTGACCATCTGATGGTAATCTTATGCCATGGTGGTTGGAATTAATACTGTATATGTAACTGGTTAGTCCTCCAATAACTTAAAATGTTATCTGTTAACTTTTAAATAAAAATACACTATTTTTATATTTCAGCTTAAGGAAAGTCTGGCAGAAGAGAAAGTGCACAGTCAGGAATGGCTATCTTACCATTTCACACAGTACAGTATGCATTTTACTTCTAGTATTGGGGTGCTTCTCTTAAAACAAAACTCTCAACAAAATGGAGCTACTGTTTATACATTGGAGTTCCTCTATGTCTTTTTTTCTTTTCTGGAGGCCCTGAAAGAGAACGTCCACAATGGGTCTGCCTGGACTCGTGGATCAGCAGATCGAGGATGTGGCCAGTCAGGGCTTTGTCCGGTTTTAGCTAATATGTCATTTGCAACCTTACCTGAGACCTGATTACAGTGTTGACTTCCTCCTGGAAATGCTCAACCTAACATCTATTGCTTCTCCATTGGTCTTCTGCCCAGTCTTTCCTCAGAAACCCTTCCATTCCCTCTTGAATCTTGGATGAATTGCTGCCAGTTGGATCTCTCCTTCCCATTCTTAGATCTTGAGATTTCTCATCCTTTGGGTCTTTATTTCCCCCTTTCAGGGCTGCCACCTGTGGACCTTTCTTCTCCTTTTTCAACTAGGAAGTGACAATTGCTCTGAGTACTCAACTTCTCTCTCCAACGTTTCTTTCCAGACACTTTGTTCTCTTCATGCACAGATATTTTCTCTCCTCTTCTTGTTATATTCCAACACATTTCATCTGACCCTCTTTATGAAATATATAATAAAACTCTGTAACATTAGCCCAAATAATGCTGCTGAGGATACTAGTTAAATGCTATTGAAACTGATGCACATTTCCTTTTTCTGTGATTATTTAGTTAAATCGTCTTCCGGTGAAGCTGAATTTGCTCACTTGTCAAGTTAAACCAAATGCGGATGACAAGAAATGTTTTGATCTTATTGCACGTGAGTTCTGTTAAGTTCATCTCAGACTGGAGTCGTTAACTAAGTGTCATCCAGATATTTGACTTTATTTCTCACCAGTCTCTGTAAACATGCCAATGACAAGGGATTGTGGGAATTGCTGCTCAAAGTATCTAAAATTTACTTGGTTGCTTATTGCTGATGAAATGATGAAATGTTAGGTACTTGTAATTTATCTCACAAGTATCCTCTATCTGGGTAACTCACCCAATGTTCCCTCTAATTTTTTTTCAGTGTGAGCGGAAAAGTATAGTGTTTGAATGGCACATTTTCATGCCTGAGCACCTGAATTTTAGATACTTTGAGC